TTCGCACATCCGCATTGTTAATCAATGCTGAACGACTTCTCCAACAACTCCATGCATTCGCATACTTCTTCCCGCTCCACAGCACAAGCAACACTCGACGAGCACACGCAAGCATACTTGCGACAATGTTCATGTACAACCACTCCTATGGTACCACCCTCTCCTCGACACTGTACGTGTTCTACTCCTTCATACAATCCATGTTTGACATCACTCTTGACAGATTTGCCCCACACACATTTACATTCCTCAGTGCCATCCATGACACCATTTCGAATAAGGTAAGCAGTGGCCATCGCTTATCCCTCCTGAGCCGAGTCCGTTCACATCACCCACATCACCCTCTCCCTTCGAGCCAGAACGTCCCAGAGATACACCTTTGCAATCACACACAACGCCTAAGTTCTCTGCACCTCCAATTGCGAGACGTAGTCAGAGCATGTGATGTGCACGTACGGACATGGCTTCGCTTGCTGCTCAAATCAGCTTGTTCAATGCTCTGGATCCCAACCTCAGTGCACCACTTACACTTGCTGCATGCTGTCACGGTGCGTCCACCTTTTCTCTCTTATTTTCACTCGCTAATCACTCTAAACTCGTCTCACAGGTACAGCCTCAGCCTCCACAACCTGCTCGACCTCAATTCACACACGCACGCAATTCAACTTGCAGGGACCGAGCGACGACCAAAGCATGGTGATGAAGACTACATCAAACGGCCCGAGAACACATCCTTCCTCTTCCGTTGCGGATGCTGTTGGGAAAAGAACGAGGCGAGAGGCAGCTCATCATACACTACAAGTACTGTGAGTGTCTCTTCATCAGCATCTACCGCCGATTCTGACGACTACAGCGAATTCGACTCGCTCTCCGCCGATAGTTCACTGTATGGCTGCCCGTTCGGATATTCGCACACGACGTGCAGTAGCGTGCGCGAAGTGGAGATGGCAGACTTTGGTGATTTTGAGATGGGTGATGCGGTGTGCTTGCAAGGACGGGTCAACCGCGGATGCAGTCATAACCGTTGAGCCTCTCAATGCCCTCGCTTTCGGGTGGTCCGTCTGGATCTGGTCAAGGGATGGGCCTGGCAATCGACACCCGTAATGCACTCGTTCGCTGCTCGAGTCTGGTCCGATCCCAACCTCTACCTACTTGTATTCGCATCACAGCAGACACGGACACTCTCACTCACTCTCTGCACAAATCTTGACGCAGGCTGCACTATGTATGTGTAAGGAAACTCACTGTTCCTCACAAGAGAATTCTAATCGCCCTTAGTTCACTCAACTACTGACTAGGATAACCTAGTACTCGAGCAAGGGGTCAGGGGAAAAGAATCCCCTTTACCCAGTGATTGATACTGTCTTTTATAGGGTAGTACACGTGTAGATACATGAGGAGAAAGTGTAACTAACTACAATGAGAATATATACGCTTGTGGGTCCTACTGTACAATGATCTGACACAATCAGCAATGTAGTGATAATAAAATACAAACCAGTAAATCAAATCCTTACACTCACCCTCTAGCATTTAGTCCTAAATGCTAAAAATTAGTAGAAAAGGCAGAAAACTTACTTAAAAGTAACAGTTAGTAATAAGTAAATAATAAAATACCTTACCCATGTGTATGGGAAACATCCTTGTAATGTATTACTGCCTCTCTAAAGTGATCCAAAGTCAATCCAATGAGTATTGAGACAGTGGTGGTGTTCTAGACAGTGGGTAGTATGGTTCCAAACCATGTGAAGCTAAATAAAACGTTAATAGAATTAAACATAGTCAATATTACTGTATAGTCAATTAGTAGGAAATTTGCCTCTTGATTGTTACTATCAATACAACACTTTTCTAAGAGAATCAGTAGAGTTCCTAGGGAGATATAGTGTTTTGGCAGTTGAGTATTCTGAGACACACAGTGTAGATTAATATGTACAGAAGTGGAAATTCTGGCAGCATGGTAATTGCAAATATTCTCTTCTCCTATGTTTTCAGGAAGTACAGAGGTAAATCCCTGATCAACAAAGCTATAGTCTTCTTCCTTAATAGAATGTATTAGTATTACAGCTTCTATCTGTCCTTGCACAAATTCTTGTTTCTGTAGAATAGTTATAC